AGCGGGTTCATCAGAACCGGTTCCCTCTGCTGGACTCCAGACTGATGATGGAAGAAACTGAACCAGAGGAGAGTAGCTGTCAGTTGTGAAACCAAAACAATAAGTTCAAAAAGGTCAAGTGGCTGTGTTACGGGTCCATTTAAACCAGAATGTCATCAGGTTTGGACCATTTTGTTGGTACAGACATCGGCTGGTTGTGCTCAGACGTTCACTGTAAGAACTTGTTTAGTTCAATGTTTTAGTGGAAACGGTGCTGGTGTTGGTTCAGAGGTCCTGTCTCAGCAGGTTCTACGCATTTATAGAGAGCCCAGTCTAGAAAATGGTCTGAGTCAGTGTGTATTCCAACTCATTTGACTGAAGACGTCTCAGAACCGGGCTTATACAAAACTAGGAGAAAAAGTAAAATAATCAAGATGAAAGAGCTTTATTCCTGTTTCCTATAGAAATGTTCCAGTTCACACGCTGATGAGAGTCCAGCAGCTTCATCACTGTAGCACAGAGACACATTCACGTCTCCGGCCCGTCTTGGCTCAGTCTGTGGGAATCGGTTGCGGGTCACTGCTCATGGCCTCTTTATTCCTGTTTAGCGGCGGCTCTGACACCTGGCCTGCCGCTCCCTCCCAGCTCCTCATTAATCGCTGCTGATACTAACAGGAAGCGAGCAGCCGGAAAAAAGGGCCATTTGGATGCAACAGTGGCGTTTCAGCCCGACTCTGGACCGGCACAGAGTCAGAACTCACTGTCCTGATCACACAAACGGTTGAACTGTCTTTGTGTTTACAAGTTATGACAAAATGTGTGTGTTTATATACATATATAGATGTATGTATGTAGACTGTTATGTGTGATTGTAGTTATTATGTTTAATGTCAAAACTGGCTGTCGTGAAAAAAAAAGAACAGCAGGTTGTGAAGACTCTGAAGAGTTCATTTTTCAGTCTTGGTCCCATCTTGAGGATCCTGTCTTGGCTCACCCATCCTCAGTCCTGTAGAGCTGCGACGTGTTGGATCGGCACCTCTGACACGGGAGAACTTTGTCTAGCTTTATAGCATTAAGAAGACTTTGACAGCCGGTCTGAAAGTCGTACCAACTCTGTGGTTAGTTTGTTTGGTGTTTGTACTCCTCTGACCTCAGGCTCTCTGGCTGGCATTAGCAGCTTTCTGCCTCATCCACAGTGTTACGATCCCCGAAATGAGCTCATACCAAAGAGACCGAACACAATTCAATAGGCCAAGAGCTGCAAAGAAAATAAAGGTAGACAGGAAATGTGACCAATTAAAGAAAGAATCTACAAAAACATTAGCTAAAGAAAACCCCTCCCATCCATCCATCCATCCATCCATCCATCATCTCTACACCTTAACCCTCACTAGGGGGCGGAGCCTATCCCAGCTGACTCAGGGTGAAGGCAGGTTCACCTGCACGGGGAGAACATGGAGACTCCACGCAGAAAGATCCTGGGTGTCCTGACCAGGACACGATGTGAATAATGCTGCATACATTTACTGCCCGGCTGACTTGGAACCATGTTGCTACCACAACTGGGCTTTTCTAGAAAGTCCTCCAGCACGACTCCACTTCTGTCTGGTGTTCTCCTCCCCCACGCTGCCCAGCCTGCCTGACTAATACACTCCAGTTTGTCCTCCTCCATCTGTAATCCAGGGCTGTAGTAGTGAACTGCTGACATCCTCATCTGGCTTGTGCCTGCTCTGAATGCTGGCTATCTGCTGGCTCCAGCTGTCCCTGTTTGGACGCTGGACACTTGCACTGCGCTTCAGGGAGGACACATTTGATCCCAAGAAGTTTGTCTGTCACAACTATTTCTTCTTTTGCAACGTCTGATTTTTTCTTCACTGCCGTATGTCTCCACACTGCCTCAGAAATAATGCAAGGAATGCCTTCTTTGTAGGTCTGGTGCTGTTAAACACAGGGACCCTGTTACCTGACTACTGTGGGCTCAGTGCTGTGCATGAGGAACCGTCCTCTCACCTGCCCGACACCTGAGGCTGCTCCAGACGGTTGTGAGCACCTTGCATGGCAGCTCTGCCGCTGTGTGTGTGGATGGGAAATATTTTGAAGTGCTTTAAGTCGAGGAAAGCAGTAAATAAGTGCAGAACATTTCTGATTGAGGGGCACATGGTTCTTGTCCATCAGATTATACCACATGATGACGTTTCCCTTTGCCAGCGAAGCAGAGCTGCTGTTAAGTCTCTGTTGGTGTCGGAGCTGCCTCTTAGTTTCCCTCCAAGAAAACACAAAATGACCAACAGGGAAAAACAACAAACTAATCAAATGATCTGTACAAGGCTAAAGGTGAAGCACAACCTGCAGCATGCTGTCAGACAGCCTGTGGTGTCAAACCGAAACCATACGGACAAAAAAAGATTAGGAGAGAAGTTTCACCTCTGAAGACCCCAGCTACAGTTGGATGTGTGTTTTTATTAATAAAAAACATAACAAAAATATTGTTATTTACTATTAATTATTATAGTATTTAAATATATATTTATAAATAATTTAAACAACAACAACAACAATAATAAAATAGTAAAAATAAAAACACATTTTAACAAATGAACTACTGTGGTAATACAACCCAACATGTGATGTCCACGTGGACAGCAGCACCACTTCTACCTTCTTACCCTCACCAGACGTGACTCTGTGCAGCAGGAAGCAGACGTCCTTCAGCGTTACAGAAGCAGGATGCTAACGGCTGGACCGAGCCATGACAAACAGTGTGTCTACTATGTTCAGAGGCGGAAGATACATGGTAGTTTCAGCTCTGCAGGGCGCACAGGATGACACTAGGTGGCGCTAACTAGAGTCATTAGTTGGGACTAATGCTCATCTTGTGTCCACCTCATGTGGAGCTACAGAGCGTCATAGCTGCTACAGTTCTGGTTCTGTACTTGGCCAGTGGTGCTGTGTTTGTCAGCTCATACTTGGATGCATCGACCCATTTGAACTGGACGACAGTGAGCAGGTGTGTGGACCAGAATCTCAGCACACAGTAAAACTGTTGAACTGGTGGCTGACCTGTGTTCATTCATGGCCTTCCTTATTTTAATGCCTTAACAGGAGTCCCATTAGATGTGATTGTCTTCCGTAGTGAGATGTACTTCTACCTCTGTGGCCCGGACTTGGAAGCAGAGCTGTGATCTGCGCTCTTCCTTAAAGCCGCTGAGGGATGAAGCTTTGCTCAGCAGCCCTGTCAGGAGCATGTAAATAATTGAACATGTGTTGGATACACGGTGTTGGCTGTATAGTCTCACCTGGTTTCTGTGCTGTGGTGGGAGGATGGCATGGAGCTTATGGATGTCCGTATGGATGTAGTGACACAAAGAGGTCTCCAGGTAGTGCTGAGGAGCTCCCAGGGTGTTCTGCTGTTTGTAGCAGCTGCTCACAATAAAATGAACATATGGAACGAAAAGCGAGGGGCTGTGTTGGTACGATAAGACAGGATGGCAAGTCTGGCCAGTTTAAATGAGACGGTGAAACACTGCCCAGTATCTTAAAATACTACAGTTTCACTGCCAAGGTAAACAGGAGAACCAGGCTGTTCACTTCAAAGTGATCTGCTGCTGTGTGGCTGCACAGATGTGTTCAGCCAGCAGGACTCAGCCCGTTGGAGGACAGCCTTGTCTTTCTGGTGCTGTGTTGGTGTGCTCGCTGTACCGACACCGGACTGGAATCAGTGATGGACTGCAAGTAGTCACAGCATCAGACTTCATCAGGGAGGCATGTGTGTCCAGAGGCTTCATATTAATCAGAGTCTGAGTATAATGCTGAACACAAGCAGCTCCTGTTGGCTGAACACTGGAAAACCACCCAGTGACACTGTGGGAACCATTTCCTACCAGCGCAGCAGGAAACATGACTGAACCTAGACTGGGATGAGAACTGGTTCTGATGGACAGTGTGCAACAGAAGTGGGTCGGTCCCTGTGCAACATCATTTAAATGTAAAACATTTTAGAAATAACCACAGGTTTTCTAAGTGGATCAGCAGTTATTTGTTCTTATTTAAATAAAAAAGCAGCGTTCGAGATTCACTACAGCGCAGTGAACAGTCGGTTCAGGTGTGTCTCTGTAGAGCCTCCAAAGATGTTCTGTTGGGTTCAGGTCAGGTGACGTTCTCGGCCAGGCCACAGTGTTGATTTCTTGTTCTTTAGACATTCCTGTGTGACTTTAGCAGAGCGCTTTGGATCATTTTCATGCTGGAATATTCCTGTCCTGCCAAGGTTCTGCAGACTGGATCTTCTCAGCCAGTGTTTGGCTCATCCTCAGGCTGTCATGGTGCCGTCTGGACCCGCCAGAACACTCCCATCTCTGTGCTTTGGCCCTCCTCAAGCCAAACGTGACCCAAGCACATCTATCCTGGTCTGACCTGACCACAGAACGTGCTCACAGGGTTCTTTTCCTGTTCTGAAGAAATGTTTGATTCCACATTTTAAGATGAGAAGGGATGAGTCTTTATTAATCCTACAGTGGGGACGTTTGTAAGGCTGCAGCTGCAGAGATAAACATTTAGGAAATAAACTCAGAACATAAAAATAGACCACAATAAACTAAGATAGACATCAACTACAGAAAAACACAGAATTGCACAGATGATTTCATGAATGGAAATATTGGCATAAATATTGAACACATTATTTTCTATATTGCACAGCTTGTGTGTGTGAGTAGATACACACCTGTGTAGTGTGCATGTTCTAGTAAACGTCACATAGCCACAGAGCACGCCTGGATCATGGATGTCATGTGATGTCCTCCACACTGGCTGAGCGTCAGAACTTCTGATTCCCACTGAGCCAAGTGTGAAGGTCCATAAGCTGCTACTTGAACTGGTTGGTGGTGCTTGTAGGACTGAACATTCTACGTGAAAGCTAATATAAAGATGAAGCACTTGACATCTCAGGATGTGCTCACTTCAGCTGTCCACTGTAAGAACAGATGTTTTTCTAACTCCAACCTTTTTGTTTTTGTCTTCTGCAGAAGCACTAATGGACTCAACGACTGCCACAGCAGAGCTGGGCTGGACCATCTACCCGTCACAGGGGGTGAGTGGAACCGAGAAAGACACTTAGAACAATCTGTAAAACATGCAGTGTTTTGTTAGTGTCGCTGCAGATTTGGTAACTAAAATATATGAACCTGATTGACTTCTGGAAAGTCAGAAGACTCAGTGCCTGCTGACTGAAGCAGCTCAGCATCTCACTGCGTCTCGCTGTCAGCCGACCATCTTGTGTTGCTGCTTTGAAACTTTATTGTCTGTCCCAAACAGTGACAGAAGTTCTCCGCTGACGAGGCTCCAACAATAAAAATACAACCAATGAAAACACGCGTCAGACACGAGCTCACAGCCGATAAAACGTTCGGTGTCTGAGTTCATCTAGTTCAGGGTTCTTAGTGCAGTGGGAATAAAGGATGTTTTATAGATGTGTTTGGGCCCAGTGGGACTTTGTGACGTCTGCCTGATGGAAGTAGCTGGAAGGACCGATGGAGGCTGAGAAGGTCGGCCTTCCTGATCACAGGCCGGCTTTCCAGCTCAGAGACATGAGCTTGTGGTGAACCAGTGAGTTTACCGGCCTGGTGAACAATATGGGAGAGTTTGTTGAGTGTTCAGTGGAGAGGGAGCTGTACCAGGATGAGATGTGGGATGTGAGGATGGACTGATGAGTGAGGTGTAGACCAGGGTTAACATTACAGCCTCCGTTTCCTCAGCAGGTGGTGGCGCTGTTGTGCTTTTTTGTAAACTGAATCCGTGTGATTCGCAAATGACGTTAGAAACTTTCAGGAGGACAAGAAAGTCGGGGAAAACGTGCAGAAGAAGACGCTGAAGCACACACACACTAATCCACTTGTGCACACTCAGGAGTCGCTCCGACAGAGTAGCGCCCCGTAGTGGCGACAAGAAGTATTAATGTCTGTAATTAAGTAAAAGTACCAGTGCAGCAATGCTGAATGTAATCTATTACAGGTAGAAGCCCTGCAGTCACAACCCTACACAGGTAGAGAAACATGATCATCAGAACCATGTGAGGGGAACGACAGCGTGTTGATGACTCACATGTTACAGTGAGGGACTGAAAAATAAAAGCCTCTGTCTCTGGATGAGGCAGTTTACAGTCAGCTCAGGGAATCTTCATTCAGGTTTCTTCTTCTCACACCAGCTCACAAGCCCGTCACACAGCAAGGTAAAGGCCTGACAACAAGAAGCCGAACAGATCAGAACCTCCCTGTGGACTACATCAGAGCGAGCAGCAGGATGAACAAAATAAAACCTTTATCAGGAAGGACAAAAAAATAAATAAGCTCAGATGGAAGCAGGCTCAGGGAAGGCCCGAAGGTCTGAACCAGCTGCAGCGTCACTGAGGGACAGTTCAGGTGGTCCTGAGCAAATCTAAGTTTCACAGAGGAACGTTTTCATCCTGACCTTAAAGCACAGAGGGTGTCTGCCTCCAGAACCCAGACTGGGAGATGATCCACAACAGAGGAGCTGATAGCTGAAGGCTCTGCCTCCCATTCTGGTTCTGGAGACTCTGGACCCACCAGTAGACCTGCAGTCTGAGAGTGAAGGGTTCTGTTAGTGTCAGAACTCTGGCAGCAGCATTGTGGATCAGCTAGAGGTTTTTAAGAGAGTTACTGAGACGTCCTGATAATAAGGAACTGAAGAGTTCAGTCCGTCTTCACAAACCTTCATAAACCCACGTCTCCATCGTCTACCTGAGACAACATCCAACTTCACTTCTCTCTATAGTCGTCATTTCTGCTGAGTCAGATCCACTCAGCTCCACTTTGACTGATATACAAGAAAACAACAAAACAAATTTTCTGAAAATCTACAAATTGGGGTTTTCTGTTTCTCTTCACTAGTTGATCAGAAGCTGAAGTTAGATGTCAGAGGCTGAGCAGAAACCAGACTTGAGCTGCTGTGTCTCTGTGTTTCAGTGAATGTACCACTCTAATTGTTCTTTCTGTGCTCTCTTCTAGTGGGAGGAAGTCAGCGGCTATGATGAAAACATGAACACCATTCGAACATACCAGGTGTGCAATGTCTTCGATAGCAGCCAGAACAACTGGGTACGTACCAAGTACATCCGCCGCCGCGGTGCTCAGCGCATCCATGTCCAGATGAAGTTCTCGGTGCGCGACTGCAGTTCCATACCCAACGTTCCTGGCTCCTGCAAGGAGACCTTCAATCTGTATTACTATGAGTCGGACTCGGACATGGCCACTAAATCGTCCCCGCCCTGGATGGAGAACCCCTGGGTGAAGGTGGACACCATAGCAGCTGATGAGAGTTTCTCTCAGGTGGATCTCGGCGGCCGCATCATGAAGATCAACAGTGAAGTTCGAAGCTTTGGACCTGTTTCGCGCAACGGGTTCTACCTCGCTTTCCAGGATTACGGAGCCTGCATGTCGCTTATTGCTGTCCGAGTATTCTACAGAAAATGTCCCCAGATAATTCAGAACGGCGCTGTCTTTGCTGAGACTCTGTCGGGAGCAGAGAGCACCTCTTTGGTCGCAGCCAGAGGAGTGTGTGTTCCCAATGGGGAGGAGGTGGATGTCCCCATCAAGCTGTACTGCAATGGGGACGGAGAGTGGATGGTGCCCATCGGCCGCTGCATGTGCAAAGCCGGGTACGAGGCAGTGGAGAATGGAACCGCCTGCAGAGGTGAGGAGGCCCTCATGCTGCTCTAGACAGCTTCTGTGAATTGTCTTTAAACTGTGGTCTGAACTACTGAACTGTTCAGACCTGCTGAACTTACTCTTACAAAGAAGTGTTGAGTCACAAATCTGGGGACTTTCTGGGAGACCTTCATCTAGTCCTTGAAAGAGTCTCCAGTGTTTTCCAGTGAATGTGGCTGTTTGGACCAATCAGTGAGTGAGAGAGTGAGTCAACCAATCACAGCCAGTCAGAAGCATGAATAAACTGCAAACTGCCAGTGGCTGACCCAACCACATTGAGCTTCTGGTGACGTGATCCTGCATAATTCTAACAGCTCAGTTCAACAGTCTGCACACCAACCGTTCTTAACATGTACAAGACAGCGCTGGCAGTTTGAAGATGCATATATATGAGATTAGAGTTTGTTGACATAAAGCCCGTTAGAGCAGGTTAACTGAAGTTAAGCTTGACTTAAACTTGGTATAAACTGTAATATAATGTATTTACAGTTAGGTCAGGATTTGAACGTGGTTATAGTCCCAATAGAACAGAAAAACTTCCCTCCAGCTTCATTTCAGGGGTTTTAGTAGAATATTGAATTATCTGTTCAGGACTTACAGACATGCTTTGAAACCGTCCCTCCATTCTCACACAGTCAGAAGTAAATGGACGACGAACAACAACACAAACGTAGAGATTGGTTTTATTACTTGGATGTAGATCCTGTGCAGCCGATGACTGCTGGACGTCTGTCCCCAAATACTCATGGTCATCTATTGTTTACATCAGGAGTGTCCAGTCCTGGTCCTGCAGGGCCACAGTCCTGCATGTTCTAGATGTGTCCCTCTTCCAACACACCTGATTCAAATGATCAGCTCATCATCCAGAAGCCTGATAACCATCCTGATCACTGGAATCAGGTGTGTTGGAAGAAGGAAACATCTAGAACATGCAGGACTGTGGCCCTGCAGGACCAGGACTGGACACCCCTGGTTTACATGGTGAAGCATCATCCTGCCAGTTATGTAGCGGTTGACTTAATCTGAGCAGAAGGTGTAGCTCTCTACACTTCAGAGTTCATCCTGCTCCCTTTAAGTCCAGTCACATCATCAATAAATCAATGACCCGGTTTCATGAGCAGCCACACGTGTCCATGCCATCACGCTGCCTCCACCGTGGTTGGTAGAAGAAGGTCGTCTTAGTTTGTTCTGTCCAAAGAATCTTGTTCTCAAACTAAGCAAGTTTTTTTCGATGCCTCTCAGTGGTTCCGTGTCTCCAGAGCTTTGCCTCTTGAGGTAAACCCTCATCCATGTAGGTCACCCTTGACTTTAGACTTTGAAAATGATGCAACGGGCTCACTGGAAGTGGTGCCAGATGTTGTGAAGGGATTATCCTCACCAAGACAACAAACCCATGATCCCCTGCTGCCGTTGTTTTCTGTGATCTTTCAGACCTCTTGGTGCCTAGCTCACCAGTCAGTTGTTGTTTTCTCAGCTTAGTGACAGCCTCTTTCACTTGCATGGACACCTCTTAGGAATGCACGTTGACACTTCCCATGAACACCTGCCAAACACAAGTTTAGGTGTTGGAATCAACTCCAGACCTTTGTTCTCCTTAACTGTCATGAAATAACGAGGTAACGGGCCACAGTGGGACATGGAACTGCTCATCAGCTAATTATAAAAATGGAGGGCCGATGCTAACGTGTCTGTCGTTCTTTAACAGTTATTGCAATGTTCTAGTAAAACCCCTTGACTTACATAGGGTGAAGGTAGGGTACATCCTGGACTCATCACATGACTCACATTCACACCGTCACACGGTGTAGAATCACATCAGCATGTTTCTGGACTGTGGGAGGAAGAACCCGGACAGAACCCACACAGGCACATACGCCACCACATCCAGGAGTGGAACACAAACAGTGGTCCTGGTAGTGGGCTGGAGGGCTGCTGTCATGTTCAGGTGCAGTGACAGATACCTTCCAAGGCCTTCCTGACTTTGTGGTTGTAGCAGCTGTAACCAAACCAGGACGCGTCTCTGCTAAACATGAGCTAGTGAGTTTTATTATGAGATGGGGAAATCTAAGATGTATTTCCTGGGTTATTGCTCTGTCATACCACAACAAAATGAAGATTAAATTCACAGAACTGATCATATGCAGTGTTGCATTGTGGGACGTTTAATCCAGAACACATCAGTGTGGCTCCAGGCACGCTGCTTCACCTCCTGCTTGGTAATATGTGGAACAGCAACATCAATATTCTGCTGCTGTGCTCACGCTGTTGATGCTCACTGTGCACTATATATATATATATATATATGTTTAATTCAAGCACGCTGTCAAGTGTTGTCTCCATGAGCGCTGTCTGGAGGTTGACAGCATACCTTGAATCCTGACGGCTGAAGGGCTGAGGTCAAAGGGGTCCTTGAGGAACACTGCCCCCATGAGGTGGAGTTGGATGTGTTCTGGTTAGGTTTTTAAATTGAGGAGATTCTTTTGTGATTCTTTTGGCAGACGACATAAACACAGTTACAAAAATCAAATAAGCCAGTGATGACAATGAAGGTATGATTACAATCCAGTCCAGACAGCAGCAGAGGTGGAAGCATGAAGTGAACCAATGAGGGCTTCACAGCTGAACGCTGCAGCTCACTGAGGACGCTGAAGGCAGCAGCTTGTGGTTCCATCTGCTGGTCTGGTCCATTGCTAGTAGTCCTGGTTTGTTGTTTGGACTCGTGTACTGTATTGAATGTATTATGAGTTTACATGTTTACTTTCCCCGTCCTCAGATAGTTATTTTTTCGTCATGTTGGTTTACATCCTGCTGTTGTTTGAATCCTCCTGAAGTTACGCTGATGTGAGTCACAGCTTCTTCCTGACGGAGAGCTGCTGGTTGAACTCTCTGTCTGATCGTGTTCACGAGGAACCCACACCTGGCTGTTGTTTTTGACTCTGATCACTTCTTACTGCTCAGCTCTGCTTCGCCCAGCGGCCTAACCGCCATCAGCTTTTACGTCGTCCAGACTCAGCTGCAGCGATGCTCTGGTACCCGCTGGTGAAACATGCAGACTGTAGATGATTCAAGTTGTAAAAGCAGCACCCCTTCACTGGCTGCCTGTACATTTAGAATTGATTCAAAGGTTGTGTTGCTTGTTTCTAAAGCTCCTGCCTTCATCTGCAACCTGCTAACTCCGTATCATCATATAATCATTTCTATAAAGTCACTTTTATGGTTTGACTTTTTTTGCTGTAATTATTGAAATGATTTTATCCAAAGTTCTGGTTCTCATTTACTGTTATTATGATATTTATTTTATAGAACTTAATTTATGTGCTATATAAATAAGGTTTATTATTGTTATTACTAATTAAGACAAATTGTGCTCACAGCTAAATGAGTTGTGTTTATTCAGCTGAAAGTGTAGATGTGTTTTCTGTTTACTGAACTTTTTATATTTTCATCAGTATATAAATTTTAAAACTACTTTTAGAAACATCCTCACTTTATTTTTAGCATCTACAATGTTTGCACAGGGCTATATTCTATTAGGTATATTAGCTTGTACTGACTATTTAGAAGTGATTCTTAAATATAACGACTAAGTAAAAGTGAAAAAGTCACCAGTGAACTCAACACAGGTTTGCAGAGCAGAATCTGAACTGTTCAGGAAAGCAGGAGGTTGCTTCACACACTCCCACTGCTTCTGGCACATAGGTCTTAG